AAAAAAAAAAAAAAAAAAAATCAGCATTTCAATAACAGTCACCATTTCCAAGGCTGAAAAGACAGAGGAAAGGGTGCAGCCACAAAGCAAAATCTAGCAAACATACTGAAGGAGAACTTTAAAATTCTCTTAAGGAATCCCCACTAAGAAGAGATTCTACCAACAACTTCACAATCCAAACAAAGTCCAACACAGACTGTATGAGCAAAAGAATGTCCTTGTTCTCTAAATTCACCCAAACCATCATCCATAAAAGGCTCTGAAAACATTTACATCAGCAAGAATATGCAACAATAAGCAAGAATTAAATATTCAAGTTCCTGTTCAAGGAAGGAGTTTTCATTATTCAGAAGAAGAAGGTTAAGAGGTTTTCATAATCACTTAATACTGTAGCATGCTTATTTTATCTATTTATTCCTTCTTGTAATTACAAAATAACTTCAACAGTGAAAATGTTAACAGCTCTAGAACATCTTCCCAGGACTGAGGACTCACTGGTTAAGTGGCCCTACTTCACAATTTAATACCAGTTGTTGTTTATACTTGAAGCAATTTATTAAGTGAAGACATAGTATGGCATAAAATATCTATGCAATTAGGCACCATTAAAATTTATCAATAGCAATTTGCACAAATTCAAAATCATTTTCTTTCTTTTTTTTTAAAACTGCCAAATTTACAAGAAGACTTCACCTCCGACTTCTTTGCATTTATTAGTTATCGTGTCAGGAAAAACTTTTAGGAAGGTATCATGAAAATGTGAAATTACAGAGAATATAAAATACAGTATTACAGTATCTTACAATTTTGTCAGTCATACTTCAATAAACCTGAAAAAATGTTATATTACAGAGAAATGGAACTTCAGGTTTTTTTTTGTATGATCTTTCCTGTTGCATCCAGAAACAATAATGAGACTTTTCTTTATTCCTTCACAAAAACCAAATAATTATTGACAGGAACAATCATGGAATCCTCACCTCAACGAACAATAACTTAAATGCTCAGCAACATAGTTAAGTAAAAAAGAGAAATGTGACAGAACCAAACACTTTAG